GTCTGACCCGCGGACGGACACAATACAGAAGCCTGATGATGGCAGATGAGATTCTGCTGAAACGTTGCTACAACTTTAAAAGAACAACTACAATGACGTGGGAAAATACCCGAACCAAGCCGAACACCATACATGTAAGTACCCGCGAAAACTTAAGAAAACAAATATATATATATATATATATTCATTCTTAAGTTTTCTCGGGTACTTACATGTATGGTATTCAGCTTTGTTCGGGTAGGGTATATACATAGCACCTTTTTTCTATTGTGCAAAGACAAATGCTAATCCGTTTCATTAAAGTCTCTAATTCTAACTTTGTAAACTTTGTCTATAATTTTAAATGATAGTGTACATTTAGACACTCATTTTGGTGTAGTGGTTAAGGTTCTAGACTAGAAACTGGGTGACCATCAGTTCTTCACCCAGTCACTTTTCACCTTTGGAAGGAGGCAAGAAAACTGCAGCCATCAGGAGTTAACAATGAGTCAAAGGCTTGATGATAATAAATAATAATACTCATTAGATGGACAAAATGCCAAATCTAACTTGAACAACTGGCTGACTGTGCAACAAACTATAAATAATAATGGGTTAAATTTAGTGTAACTGCCTCATGTTTTAACTTCTCCTTTTCTCTCTCCTGTATCTTTATTTGCCCTACTCCAGAGAATCCTCTTCACTCAAAAGGAGCTTTGCAATACATACATGAGGGAAAGAAAAGTCTATTTGTCAATAATCTCTATTGCACTGGTAGATAAGCAACAACAGAAAAAAGATAATTAAAATGAAACAGGAATTTTCCCAAGATAATTAACAGTTGCTATATAAAGTAAATGCTGAATTAATTGACACTAATTAAAAATAATAAACTTGTGTGGTTAACCACCTATGTTCAGCAAACATAAAAGGTAGATACCATATTAGTAAAAGTTTGATTTGGATAGTGTTTAGTTTATTTAATAGTCATACCTAAACATATCATAAAAGTATGAGGGTTTCTACATCTAATTCCAATATTATTTTAATCCCAGACTGGAAAACTATTAAATTTCAGTCTAGAATTTACACATGCTTTGCTAAATTGGCACCTAGAGAAAGTGTTTATCTAGAAATTCCAGCCACCTTCTGTGTAATGATGCTGTGAGTTAAGCAGGTGCTTTCTTTTTTCTTTTTAACCAAACATTTCTGCCAGATGAGGATACCTGCGATACTTTAGTGATACTCTAATCTTTAGAAAAAGTATGAATGAGCAACTCTTCTCCTCTGGCTCTTTGTTTTCAGCATCACCAGATATCTTTTCAAAAACATGCTATTCTGTCCTGGACACATGAAGCAGATAGCTAAGACTCATATCAATCTTTTTGGACAGACAAATGTCAGGTTTTGGTTGGTTGGTTGAGTTTTTTTTTAGGTGAACTTCCAATTAATGCATTGTACTTTACAGAGTTGATCAATTTTTCCCACTCCGCTACCATCCCCTCCCCAGAATATGAGCTATTCCTAAGGCAAGAGATGGTTCCCTCCTAGAAACATTTGATATTGAGCTCTCCATTTTTTCGCCCCAGCCAAATTATATGATATGAGATTTTATTAGGTTGCCTTGCCTTTCTGGAATCAGTACGTAAAAAGAATATAAATAGTGCTTTGGAATCTTTCCTCTGTGGAAGCCACATTGAGAGCAAATGGCAACAAGAAAGAAGTCTGTCTCTTTATTTTTATTGGTTGTTAGAAATGACTAATACTAGAAGAGAAGATAATTGAGAATGTAACAGAGGATGTGTTCTTTTTCATCAATTAGAAAATGCATATATCACTTTCCCGAAGTTTCTAAATAGAGTCCTCACTTGCAAACTTAGTTTAGATAATCTGAGTGTCTTAGGGTCACTATTGATTTGAGATGAGTAAAGTCAGAAACATGGCTATGCAGAGCTACATATTGGATGAAATCAATATCTCTCTTACAGCACAGAGACCAGATTGGGTGGAATGAGGTGGAGATAATTTATCCCAGACTTGTCTTTCTGAGTTTTTCTACAAAACAGCAGCCAAATTTAAGATCAACTGTGGTTCTAATTACCTTTGTCAGGTACATAAATATATATTAAAATAGGTATAATAACTGAATTAAAATGATTGAAAATTTTAGTTGGAGCAGGTTGCTGTGCAAAATAGATTTGACTTTTTCATTCCTGGAATTCTACCTAAATATGCAAATAATGTTTTAGTCCAGTCTCTCCCCCCCAACCCCCAAATTTAGTGCCCTCCAGATGTGTTTAGATTTAGAGTTGACCTTTCTGGCTGGGAATAATGATCAAATTCCAAGAATATGGAGAATACTTCAATCACTTGGACTATTGGTGAGAATTTGTATCACTCCATGAATGAGCATATAGATTGTTGCTTTGCATAGTGATTGAAAGCAAAACTCCTTAGCATCTGAAAACTCAACATAGAATGCAAATATTCATTTTATAACCCAGAGACATTTGTCAATTTCCATTATTTTTATGCAATGCACCATTAATTAATAAAACACTAAAATTGAGAAACCAATAAAACCATGCCAAAAGGTTTTCTGAATATTTCTTACAATTTCTAGGGAAACATTTCATAATATTTCTTACAATTTCTAGGGAAACATTTCATAATACTTGAACCATGCTACAATATGTAGCCTTTCAAATCCCACACGGGGAGTTCAAGAACAAAAGACTAGTAAAAGTGTCAGTAACTGATGGATATGACAAGTTGCGGAGGAACCAAATATTGTACACATAGGTAGATCTTATGTAAAATCTTGGCAATTTAACCCTATTAATCTTAATAAATGCAAAATTATCATAATTTCTTCTTCAGGCTGAGATGTCAGTGTACAGCAAGTCTCTGGTTTAAGAGAGCCCTGGTTTAAGGGTTGACCCTTAGCTAAGAATGGAGAAACTTGAAGTATTTAACTTACTTTGATCTATTACATAGCCTCATTCCTGTTAATATTAAGATAGGCACTATATCACATACGATGGTTATTGGATTCTGTGATTTTTCTATTGAAATACTCACATTTGCATTTTCAGTTTGTGTAGCTCATTTCAGTTTAAAAAAAAACCCCTCATACCTAAAAAAGCTTACTTTCTGTAAAAACAAGGCAAATTTTGTTTTCATTCTTTGTGTTTTGGGCGTAATTCATAGTCATACATGTTTCCATATTTGGAATTATATTGACATTGGAAGGCAGGTGTATTCATGCATGGTTTCATTTTGGCCCCATTAATTTTAAATCAGCAATAAATTTAACATCAGCCCAATATGGAAAGAGAAAGTGAAGTTGTGAAAGCACTTCAGAGTATTTGAACTTAGGAGTGTTGCAGTTTCCAGCCATTTTTGAGACAGGCAGGGGAACACTCTCCCCAGCAGGAGTTCCAGCGGAAGCCGTCTCCTTACTTGACTTGAGTGGAACTTGAGGTTGGGGATTGTGAGGAGGAGTTTCAGAGGGGTTCAATTTGATGGCTCTTTATGGATAGTTAGGCTGGTGGCTGTGTAGTGACATCAGAGCAGCCACAGGAATGAATGTAATGTGACTGACTAGTAAGGAATTGTGGTACTAGAATCATTCACCATCAACTGTGATAATGAATGGAATACAAGAGAATGGTGTAGACAGGAGAGGAACTGCATTAATGTGGTGATGTACTGAGGGAGATATGGCAGAAGACAGGACAGGCTGCCTTCGAAGAATGGATGTCTTAGGCTACTCTTGTCCCCTAGTTTAAATATGGGGAATTATGTAGTGGGGCTTTAGTATTTAATGCCTTGAACTAAATAGATTTCATTAAAATCTTTCAGGATTTCAAATACTTTTTGCACAATGCTTGAGATATCTTTTCATGTACAATGGAACCTCGGGTCACGAACGCTCCTGTTTGTAACCAAATCGGGTGGCAAACAAAAAATCCACTCGATTTTTGAATCGGGTCACAATTCAAAAATCGGGTGGCGAACAAAATTGCCACGGAAAGATTTCCTTTCTGTGCTGATTTCTCCTTTGGTGCTATTTTTTTTACTGCACATGCGCAGTCGGTTGTGCGTCCAGACATGACCAAATCAAGTCATGCCAGGAGTCTGGGAACGGATTATGGTCGCGACACAAGGCTTCACTGTATATTATATGCTTGAATTCAGAAATCATTCAGATGTAATGCCAGATAAATAACTATATCAGTTGTTAAAAGAAAATGGCTAACCCTAATTCTTTTTTGGTGGTCTAACCAGGTCTGACCTTGTTTACAGTTTTGAGAACAGTTAAGAATGACTAGGTTCTGCCACTTGCTAAGAAGGATACACAAAAAAAATTAATGCCTGGATACCGTTTTTTTTAAAAAAAGGGAAAGAACTGCTTACTGGATATACAGAATATAAAGCCCGGGAAATGTGAAATGTGATTTATGCTATATTTCAACTATCAAAACAGTTGAAAATATTATCAGTTGCATATGAGAAAATTTAAAACACCTCCACATTACCATTTACTTCATTGGTTAAATTGTTATTTTATATATATTTGGAATTAAGACAATATACTAAGTGCAAAAGTGAGACTATCCAGTTCTATAGTTTAAATGCTGTTTTAAGAGGAGCAAGCCACAAGCATCTTTGAAAAATATTCTTTCTCTCCCAAATCTGAATAAAGAGTACATAGAGTATATTAAAATATAATGTTTTACAGTGTTGTGCCGGCATTTAATTTTATTTAAAGTAACAAGCATAAATTTATTTCATATGTCTTGAATTTTAGACTACATTCTGCTCCATCAAAATCAACGGAGAGGGAGCTGACCTTGAAAAAGGCAGAGGAAGAGAAAAGCACAGGTGACCCTGAAGACTTGTTTGATGATATATGACTTTTCTGGAAGAAGGATGCGATTTTACTACAAGCTGCTAAAAATACAATCATTATCTCTTTCAAAGAAACTGTTTTACATGTAGCAGTGGAAGGAGTTATTTGACTGTAAAATAATATTCAACTAATGTTTTATCTTTTGCTAATAAAGGTTGTACCCATGAATCACTAACAGTCAATACTTTCCATTGAAGGCATTACAGACTTCAGGAAGTTAATCTGTCTCCAGTTCATGTGAGTAAGAAAAGTTAATTTATCCTCAGGATTAGGAAGGACAATTACTAGACCATCAAAATGGCAGCAGTGAAAACTGGGAAGAAAGATGAAAGGCTGCGACTCAAGACTTCAGGCAGAAAGGTGTCTTAAAATTGTCTATAGTGGATTTATGATTAACGAAAATATTTCCTATATTAAGAACAGATACAGTGTCTAATCCATTTGACAAATATTTTCCTTCTGTTTGATCATAGCTTTTAAATGTCCAAAATGAAGTCTCTTGCTGCAAAGTTATTTTCAGGCCTTTACTCCATTTCCTGCTCAGTAATGGTCCCTAGCGACCATTGTTTTGAGAACAAAAGCAGTGACCCACAACTTCTACCAGCACACTTGGAATATCAAAAGCAAGGGTTTCTATGACATCTTGGAGATAAGGCAATCTGTTGTACATTGTTTTACATTTTGAATTGGAGAATTCTTATACATAAATAATTGAACAATTCAGTAATTACCATATTGCCATAATATGCCAGTTTGTCCCCAGTCTTATATCTGGGCATATTGAATTAAAACTTCCAGAACTTTCAGCCAATGAAGGAATTCTGCCAGTTTTAAATCTAGGAGATTGGGGAAAGTCTGCACAAAACTTTGAAAAATGCTATGATAATAGATTAGTTATTAAAATGGTGAATTAAGATTGAAAATATTCACGTTCTATTTTCAGCTATCAAATATCACTACTGAACAACTTTAATAGCCACTACCTTTCAGCGAACTACACAGGATTGTTATGGATTAAAAAAAAAGATGAAAGTCTGCTATATGTATTATCTTGATATGGAGCAAAAGTAGGATTATAAACTGATGAATAAGAAAATGGGCACATATGTATGCTGTGGGGACCCTGGGAAGCACATGACAACATGTACTTAATGATGTCATCTTGGTTAATGGCATTTGTTCAGCAACCTTTCAAAGTTACAATGACACTGTATGAAGAGACTTATGGCTAGTCCTTGAAATTGCATTGCAACATCTCTGTAGTTACATTATTTTGATTTAAGCACTTAACAGCAACTAATTCACAATTATGAGAGTTGCCTCTTGTCACTGTCATGTGCTGACCATTTGCAACCTTCACTGTCAGCTTCTGACAGTCAATGGGAAAGCTGGCAGGAGATTGTCCATGGTAATCACATGATGCTACACCAAATTACCTGTGGCATTTGCCTAATGGTTACAACTGAAATTTATGAATGAAGGCAAATGTACGTATCCCAGGATCTCTCATTCTGGTGAGAGAGAAGCTTCTTGAGGATGGGCTCCAGCACAAGTCTGAAAGCTCGGAGACTAAACCTCTGATTCCAGTGACCAACCTAGATTGGGTTCTACAAGAACTGAAATTGCCGGAACAGCTATTATTAAGATGATACAGTCATGTGACATTACATTTTACAGTCATGTTGGTTAGCAACAGAGCTTCCAATCCCAACTAGCTAATTGACAACTTACTTCAGACCTCATAGCCCATGTATGTAATTAAATCATTTGAACAATGATGATATCACACCCATGCCATTTGATGTCAACACAGTTTATTAAAGACATCACTAGGAACACAGGCCAAGTTAGAAATGTAGAAAGCCATTAGAAGCCAGATTGCACTGAGCTGAACCTATCTTTTATTCTGTGATCTTATATTTTTTCAATCTGAAGGGTATTTTTCTGCTTGTTTTCCCCACTACTACAAAGTATGTGACCTTTGAAAAATTGCCTTGAAATTTCATATAAACACAACCACTTGATGTTTTATTTGTACAAGTATTGTACTATGGAAATGATCCTAGTGTTAAGGATTTATGTAAAGTACTCCTATAAGAAATAATTTTAGGTCATTTCAATACTTTCTTAATTACAGAATATCTGAATACTCTGTTCAGCATATAATTCTGGTTATGCCTACTGAACCTGTATCTTCTGTTGGATAAAACTTTTGTGTTATTGTTTTAGTTTTTGCTCTAGAAGCCTTGAATTTCTATTCTCCTTCCCCCCCAACTAAGCTTGTACAATCTTTCTTTTAATAAGACAATTAAAATACAGTTTTAAGTATTAGCTTTGTTTTAAAGGTAACCTGGAAATAGTCCTCAATGGAGCTAGCAGTTTTTAAAAATTTCTGGAATGCTGAAAGCAGTTAATTTGAAAGAACCATCCATGAGAATAAAATATTGTCTGCAAACAATTGCATTGTTTTGGTTTTTTTGATAGAAAGGACAGAATCAAAATAACTCGTACATCTTACAATTTTCCTCAAAAGAAGTCTCTTGGAACAAAAAAAAGTGTAGCGAGGAAGTCAGCCATTTGGCTATTATTATTGCCTACCTGGAGGAAGGGAAAAAGATGATCCTATGAATATGAAAAAAAGAGGAAAATGGAGTAGTTAAGAGAACTGGCTTGGTCACATGATTGTAAGAGGTTTCCCAGATACCAGGCACAATTTAAGCTGCAATAAGTCTTTTTATTGTACTACATACAAATGTGGTATTCTTCTAACAACATAAAACTCTGTGTTGTAAAAAGAGCATTATTTAATCCGTGAGATTACTGTTTTGTTATGAAATGTAAACTCCAACTAGTAGTAAAGAGGTAATTATCCCATTTCTAGAATTCTAATCTGGTAGATTACAGGTCAGGGGTAGTTGGATCCAACTAGTAGGGCACTATAAAGTACTGCCCAGTTTCAGGACAAAGAGGACCTAGAGAAGCTATAAATCAGCTTTTGTAGTATCTTTTTAGTAGCTGTGTTAAGGAAAGTTTGCAGAGAATGCTTTCTTACTTTGAAATATTTTCAGTTTTCCCAAGATGGCTGTCAATAATAAAATCTCATACCAAACCAAATAAATTAAAGTACTAAATAAATAAATTATATTCAGTTGCTTATGTGTGTAATTTGTAACTGTATGTATTCATGGTTTTAATTATTAGGACCTGTTTGCCATCCAGACTCACTTTGAGATAAGTAAGTATAGAAATGGAATAAATAAATAAATTCTACAAACAATCGTTATATCAACCTCATTCAATGTCATTTCCCCCAGATTCCTTTGAGCTAAAGTTTTCTGACAAAGCTGTTCTAGGACAAGGAATTCTGGGAGTTGTCCCAAAACATTTCTGGGATAGTTTTTGGGAAAGGTTGCACTAGGAGCTGATTTCAGAATTTCCAAGCATGATTGGACTACAATCTCTAAATTTTAAAATGCACTGCAGAAACCATCTTGCAATCCTGAATAAGCAATTTTGAAGATGCCCTTGGGGAGAAATCTGGATCTACATGTTTTTGAACATTGAATTTGACTAACTACCATACATAATACTTTTCTGGAAATTGAAAGGAAATTATTTTTCTGAATAATCTCGGGTACAAACGCTAATTCAATCAAAAAGAGTAAAAGGAATTTAAACCCAGATTCTGCTTTTGGAACAAAACTCTTGAATCTATGAACTAATAACCCATTGTAATGATACACGTCCGAATGTTTTTCTTGACCTTAAATAATTGTTTCGTTTCTAGAATCAAAAAGACGTTTCCAGGAAACTTTATGTTCTGGTGCCATTAAACTTTCTGTAATTAAGCACTGGATGTTTGGTGATGACTGTTGGAGTTGCCTAGTAACATCAGCAATGCAGTGATTCCCCTTTCACTCTATCATAGAAAAATGAGCACTGGGAAACGGCATAGAAAATACACTGCAGAATCTGGATACATTCAGCAAGAAGGGTCAATATGCCAGATGATGCATCATGGAGTTCCTTAACTGACAAACAGAGGATGCTACTAGTTAATGAAATCATAGGCTGTGTGTCTAGACATACTCAAGTACATATGCAAGAATAATAAATGTTGAAGATCAGCCTTCCTCTAACCTTTAGCTGTTTGAGAGTGCAGCTCCCATCATTTTCAGATAGCAAAGTAATTGGTGGAATGATAATTCAATGTATCTGGCTTGTACCACATTGGGACAGCTTTTGTAACAGGAAGAAGAAATGGCAGGACAAAAGTTTATTGCCTTCAAATGTATTTGCTACAATAAATCAGATTCTTTACAATAATATTTTTCTTAGATGTCACGGGACCATTAATCTTGGAATTTTCCTGTTGAAAAAACGGCATAAGTACTCTTTTGGGTCAGGGTTGGGTAAAGCTATCTAGATCTTCCAGTTTTTGTCAAGCATTAGCTCCTAATGTAAGTTTTCTTCATGACCTATCAGGGTTGTAGTAGTAAATTTTAAGAGTGAAAGAATATGACAGACCCTATAGCTATACCCCCAGCAGAATCCATAAGCATAATCCAAGTATGTATATACGGTATGTGTGTATATATAACACAACACAGGTTAGATTTGTATTCTATAATTTATTTACTTCTCAGAATTATGTACTCAACCTAAATAGTATTACTTGAGAGTGAATTCTATTGAGTTCATGAAAGGTGGTTTGATGTAGTGATTAAGGCATTAGGCTAGAAACTGTTGTGGTTAGCTGGCAGCAGGTGCGGATGGCTGAGGAGAGTGAAGAATCAGTTGAGGGGCCAGGACCATTAGGGAGTGGACTGCTGCCTTCAGAGATTGTGGGGGCTGGCAGCAGCGAGGTTCCCGAGGAGCCTATGCCTAGTGCGCGTGCATGGAGGATTGCTTGCAGGAAAGAGCAGCTGCAACAGCACGGGCAACTCAGGAGTAAGGTAATGGCTCCTCCTTCAAGAAGATAAAAGCCAGCTGTGAAGTGAACATTCTTTGCAGGAAGCAAAGACGTTTTGAAACTCAGCCTTGTGGACATTACAGTATCTTAAATTGGTATTTGAAGACTCTTGTATTGTGAAATATTTCTTATCTATGATTCTTGGCAGTCTTGTACAGTTTTGGCAAGATTTGTGCTTATCAAAGTTAGTTTGTAGCAGCCTTTTAACCAGGGATTCGTAAGACTCATTAAAAGGTTTCTGTTCCCTTTGGTTATTGTTTATTTTATTGGAAGACTTCCGGTGGCAGGACAGGGATGTCCAGAGGTGGAGAAGCCCAGCTGCGGTTTTCGAGCACCTCTTCTCACGTTTGGAGCGATCCTTAGTGGATACACGAAACCCGTAGAGCTTCGTGTCAGTATAGAGGACCCCCGGGTTGCTGTTTGGGGGAAGGCAACTCCCCAGCAACAAAGGAAGAGCCTCTGAGACCAGCGCGAATGAGCCAGCCGCCAGCAAATGGCAGCTCCAAAGTCCAGTCTGTCACTGAACTGATTAAGCGAAAAGTGACAGCCTGTAAGATCAGAGCAGAAAAGGGCGGAAGGACTATAAAAGTTGTGAGAGAGATCGGTGTCTGATTCTCCCTGTTTCAATGTGAGTAACAGTTGTCGGAAGCTGGAGATAAGTGGCTAGAAAAGCGGTCTGAAAAGTGAAAGGGGGATAAATGCGGACGGAAAGGCTCGATTCTTAAAGTGAAAGTGTGGATTAGAGCGTTCGGAAGAAGATCGTCAGGGAGAGAAGAAGCCTGCGGGGAATTCAAGAGACCTGTGAGTGGTTGTCATCCGGGACCGATTCTTGAGAAGACTAGAAGACCAGAAGAGGAGTATAGCTACGAAAGAGGGAAGAGTGTGGCGTAGAGAGCGAGATAGTGATGCGCTGATTTCTGTGTGAAAGGTCTTCTGCCTCTTAGCAACGTTGCCTACAAAACTGATCTCTAACGTGACTGATTTGAGGCGGACATTCTAAGTGACAGTGGATTGATAATTGTTGGCAGAGGGGAAGAAGAAGAGGGAGGAAGAAGAAAGAAAGAGACTGATGGAAGCTTGGCAAAGACTGATCGCTGATTGCTGACAGCAATTAGTCAGCACTTCCTCCCTCTGCTCCTCTCGGTACACCCAGGAAGAAAGACTACAAGGCAAAAACGCCAGCCTCAATTCTGACTTGTCTTTCTCTGGCACTAATCCCACAGACACTTGTCTAGTGATCCCCCGAAAACTAAAATATTCTTTTCCTTCCACATCCTTTCTTCCTCCTTTTCTCTTTTAGTCTTTCCTTTCTTCCTATAATCATTATAAATTTAGGTATAAAGGTAAATTGCTTGTTATAGATATAAGTATCAATTGGTTAGAGTGTTTTGAATATACAATAATTTTAAGGACTGTTAAATATGGTTGACTTAGATTAACTGGAACTCTCAATATCAATACACAACATAGGATAAAGGTATATATAGAGTGAGAAATTTTAGAGTTGTTTGAAAGCTTTAAACAGGTTTGATTTATTAGTATTGATGTATTAGTCGTTAAATATAATTAATCACGTAGGAATCTTGTGAAATATGAAATGAACTTTTAAGGGCTATAATATATTTAACCAATTACTGTTTCTGACTGTGCATGAGTTCAGGAGGGATAAACGTATTTCAGTGTTAATTTTTGTTTGTATTCAGTGCCCAATGCCTCTTGTAGTGTCCAACAATAGTCAGCCAAGATCGATGGATTCCAATTGCCCTGATACCGTTTTTCCATTTTGGAAATGACCTAATGAAACCTTTCACTGTGCTCATCATTGTACCTAGTTTTTGGAAAGCCAATCCATGCTGAATGCAGAAAATGAATCATCAAAAATATCTGTCTCAAATGACCAAAACCTTCACCTTCCTTCATCACTTTCACAAAAATTTTCATCAGTGCAAGCTTTATATGAAGCAGAGGCAAAAAATATCATTACTTAGTGAACAAGTGGTTCATGTGACAATTTTTTTTCTGTCCGGGAACCCAATAGTTTCAAGGTGGCCATTTCTTTTTAATGTAGTGTGACTCTCTTGCTCCACTATCCCATTCGCTTATGTAACAATAGTACTTAGTATATCTGAGCTGTTCTCCAAACAGAAGAGTCATTACTTTTAAATCTGCAGATATTTCAGTTGTACTTGGTGGACTAGATGTGCTTTAACAAAGTTACATGTTTCATATGTTTCTTTTCATGTGTACAGCACAGCCAACAGGTACTAAGATACATACATTACCATCGTCTTAACAAGACAGCCTTAAGGCTTAACACCGATGAATCAGTGAAGAGACACCGTTCTAGTGGGTTATACTCACATCCGAAAGCTGTGGACAAGTGATCAATGTCAATTCAGAAAATGAGATTGTCAACCTGTGCAAAGAAATCTGTTAAATCGTCTTGGTGGCTTCAAAAGACAGATATGTTCGTACCTGGTGATAGCAAATACTATCCTGCAATCCTGAAACCATTAGTTCTGCTTTTGATACCTAAATCCCTGACTAGGTGGTTTAATTCTGACTGTATTATGAGTCGAGGCTCACCAGACATACACAGTTCAAAATACAGATCATTATCACTGCCCATGTCTGGCTAGTGCATGTGCAGCATTTTAGTCTCTTTTGTCTAAGCTCTGTTTCTTTGGTAGCTTTGATACTGGCAGATTGTCATTATGTGACACTGTTCAATGGCTGAAAGCAGAATGGAGTATTTAATTGATTTCTTATTTATAGCAGAGGAACAACTGACATTAATTTGACAGAAGTAACAACCTGTTTCATATGATTATTATGTCCTTGCCAAATCATCGGGACAGCAAACAATATTGATTTCTGAGTTCCCCTGAGCCAAGCTCTAAGATCAACAGCAACTCTTGCACAGCAAATGGGAGGGGTCTGTCCTTGCCTTGATCACCAAGTTACAGTTCATATGCTTTCTTAACAAGTCCAGTATCACCTTGAGGCTTAAGTATGTATTTGTCACAGAGTAGCAGGACATATAATGGCTGTTCTGTACTGATGAGACATTTTTGCTGTCACTAATTATCCAATAGCAAGTCTATAACAGGCTTACTTGTTATATAAATTACATGTACACAGACAATGCTATCCTTGAAACAATCACAATAAAACATATGGAAACTGGTATCAACAAACTGAGTAGCATAGGTGTATGTGAGCTGCTTTTATAGCCTTTTCAGATAGCATCCATCCAACCTAACCATACTGTACCTAGAATGCCGAAACTGTACTAGTTTCATAAATGTTATGCAATAGGTCCTAAGTGCATAACTGGATCTACATGAGCTACACTCTCATAGACACATACAATGCTTCTTATAAGCACACAAGCGAAAATTAGTAAACTTAAAATATGTATAAGAAGAAATTGCAAAAGCAGGTTTCTATAAAATGGTAAGTGATAGATTAAATAACAGGATATTTTTGTGATTAGCAGCAAAAAAAATCTATACTATAAAGTGTTCAGCAAGCAAAATCTTTGTTGTCCTGTGAAATAAACAAACTGGATTGGCTTAACAACATTATGCTGTCACCATACATATTTGTGTCTCTTATATATACACAATCACTTATACATATGAATAGGCATATACATATATATGCAGAGTGTATCAATTCAGGTCCCAAAGATGATTTATTACATACATTACACTTAATGTTTGGAATGATTGCCATTTACCTTTAAGCACTTGCTTATTTATTTTACACACAAACTATGAACATTCTTAAGTACAGTAACATTTTCTCTGGAAAAAAATATTAATAAACTTAATAAATGCATGTGATTGGCCTAAGGGGTCTGACTTTTAATAGACCTTGTATGTGTGTATGTATGACTATATTCTCATTTGAAGACATAAATAATAATAAAATGTAAAGCGTTATTGCTACCTTATGAATTTGCCTCAATAAATACAGTTAAAGCCATGAGGGGGTAGAAAATGGGTATAATTTCTGTTCTGACAAAAAAGTGCTAGAGTTTTCATTCACAATGAACAGCAAAATTGTTTTTATTTATAGCCCTTTTCTCTTGTAATGAGAAAGTGTTATTAGACATAAAAGAAGTAGAAAATAAATCCTTTGTTTTATTTGCGTGATGTGCATGATTGCATGATGTGGAAATAGCTGCTCTTCAGATAACAAAACATGGTTCCAGAAATGCAACTGTGATGTTGAAGCGTAGTAACTTTTTGATAAATTGTTTAGTGACTTTTAATGGAAATAACTGTGTGGT